AAAACCCACAATCAGGAATTATGATGGAGATTTGAAGCAACCAAACTGAAGATTTACAGATCCAGATTCAAGATTCATTAATCAAGTCAGAAATCAATTGATTAAGGTATGTTCCGCGTTAATTCAGTTTCTTGATGATTTGACATGAAGATCTAGGCAAGATTATAACGTTCAAGTTTAAATAAAGTTCTAACAGGAGAATGTGTCGTTAAAAAAATAAGGAAACATTTTGAAGTTACGTGCAATATTATTTTATTGAAAAATGTATCATTGTAAAGAGATTAAATCACTGTTCAAAATTGCATTTTGATAAAAAAAAAAAAAAGAGAGGCATTAACAAGGGCCTATATCGAGTTCTCTAACATTTTATGGTTGAGCCAACCCATAAAATAAAGTGTTGTTTCTGAAAAGACCATAATTGATGAAGTCCTTGTCTTTTACCAACCCTCACCAACCTAAGTGGGCCTCTCCACTAACCTCACCAACAACTCCATCCATCATCAATCCCTTCTCTGTAAGATTTGACCTTACCCAACCAAACTGAACCTAGAGAAACACACCCACACCCACACCCACGGATATAAAGATGGTGGGCGCCCATGTATACGTAATTTTCAAAAAATTATTTTACATCTCGGGTGTCAACCTTGAATGTTAACCTTTAACAATAAAATTTTTATTTTTATTTTGCACGGTCCCCCACTTGTGAGAGGACTGTCAAACAATAAATCAAGATTTGCATGATAAAAATAGCCTCAAACAAGGACGACATATGAGAAATGCGAAACGAAAAAAAAAAATGGATCCCCCGATGAGAATGAAATTATGCTCCCTATCCCCCTTTTCACAGAAAATGGAGAGAAGTAAAGAAAACATCTTATTACATTCGTAATTTGGAAGCGAATTAATTGAATTGCGTATCTTTCTATATTTTGGTGAAAAGGTCGCCGTAGTTTAGTAGAGATTTTTTGAGAATATATTTTGTGAAAAATATTTTATTTTTTTAAGAATTTATTATTAAAAAGTTAGAAAAATTACAGATTCACGTATAAAAATATTTTATTGAAAGAATGATGCAACCAATAATTTGTCGATCGCTCATTTTAATTGTTAAATGAGAGATAGTTTATATGTGAGCCTACATATACGATCCATATATTTCGTAATGAAATGTGAAAATGAGTTTGTAGAAAAATAATTTTATCATCAATCCTTTCTTTGTAAAATTTGTCCATACCTAACCAAATAATCCTAAAGAAATCAATAAAAAGACAAGAGTACCCTTCACCAACTCCCTTTAAAATCCACCCACTTTCTAACTCTATATAAAAATGCTATTTCTTCCCACCATTTCTCATTCTCCCACAACCCGTTCAACTACCATGTCTCTCTCTATACTCCTCCTCACTTTTACCCTCATCTTACTCGCCTACCAGCTCTACCAAAAGCTCCGATTCCGCCTGCCTCCGGGACCGCGGCCGTGGCCGGTGGTCGGAAACCTCTACGACATAAAGCCGGTGAGATTCCGCTGTTTCTACGAGTGGGCACAAACTTATGGCCCAATCATATCCGTCTGGATTGGATCGACACTTAATGTTGTAGTTTCTAACACAGAATTGGCCAAGGAAGTGTTGAAAGAGCACGACCAGCAGTTGGCGGATAGGCATAGGAGCAGGTCGGCTGCTAAATTTAGCAGAGATGGACAGGATCTGATTTGGGCGGATTATGGACCACACTATGTTAAAGTTAGGAAAGTTTGTACGCTTGAATTGTTTTCTCCTAAAAGGATTGAGGCATTGAGGCCAATTAGAGAAGATGAGGTCACCGCTATGGTGGAGTCTATCTATAAGGATTGCACTAATCCTGGTATGTCTTTGTTAGTATTCAATATTTGATTAATTTTTTACAATTTTTCTTTATATTCATTTAATTTACTTATTATTTTCTATTTGTAGCTTTAGAGAAAATATAGTTGTGCATTTTGAATGTGATTAATTCCTCCATTGGTGTGGAATTTAGCACTTTTGTTTTCGTTTATATGAATAACAGAATATCAGTTTAGACTGTATTCTCTGGATCTTTCCATTAACCAAAATGAGTAGCCGACTGAAATCTGAATTGGTTTAATGTTCTGTATACAGGTCATATGATCAAATTGTACTACACATTGTTTGCTACGCTTTACAGCTTCAATTGTCAGTTTGGAATTAGGTGTGACTAATAAATTGATTGCAATAAATATAGTATTCTTAGATCAAGCTGGTGACCATCTAAAGCTCCACTCTTTTTCCATCTCTCCATCAGTCGGTGGGCCCCCTATAGGCTATAGTTGAATGTTAAAAAAGTTTAGCCCCCGAGCTCCACCCCTGTTGGTAGGTAAACCAAATAATTGGCTTTCCTATAATAAAGAATAATGCTATCTAGCATTACCTGTCTAGGTTGTTCAGTTAAATGAGTCATATGATTTTGCATTTAAATCCATTTAATTGCCACTTAGATAGTGATGAATATCATTACTTCATAATAAATTATGAATTGATGTGCATTTGGTATGAGAGACTTGATAGCACTAAACATATGAAGAAAAAGAAGTTAAAATATTGTTCAATGTATTGTACATTGGGTGGAGTATTGCATAAAATGCACTGCGTTTCTGTACTTCGGTGATGGATTTAAAATTTGCCCTTGCATGTTGTGCACTATTGTGGCTAACTTAGCTGAATCTATGTCTTTTATGCGAGCTGTGGCTAATAGAATTGAAATGGTCTGGGATATGTTTAACTCCGAGCTCGATTTATAATTACTATATAGACCTTACGGCGATTTGCCTGTTTCATCCTTGTGCAGAATTAACTGTTGTCAAGGGTAAACGCATCTTAAAAAATTGCAGGCTAGGACCCTGTCCAAATTAAGCATGGACTTTGTGACCTTAGCCGCTCATCTCATGCATTTACTAGTTTTTCTTATGCCTCTTGCTAGTTTATTCTCTGTTGAAAAGCATCTGGAATTCACCTACAATCATAATTATACAGGTAACTTGGGAAAGAGCCTACTAGTGAAGAAATATCTAGGAGCTGTGGCATTCAACAACATAACAAGACTTGCATTTGGAAAGAGATTTGAGAATTCTGAAGGGATAATAGATGAGCAAGGACTGGAATTCAAGGCCATTGTTGCAAATGGATTAAAACTTGGCGCATCTCTTGCCATGGCTGAGCACATCCCATGGTTGCGTTGGATGTTCCCACTTGACGAAGAGGCATTCGCCAAGCATGGAGCTCGTAGGGATCGTCTCACACGAGCTATAATGGAAGAGCACACCCTTGCTCGCCAAAAGAGTGGGGCCACCAAACAACACTTTTTTGATGCATTGTTGACACTTCAAGAGAAATATGACCTTAGTGAGGACACCATCATTGGTCTTCTCTGGGTAAGCCAAATAATTACCAATATCATCAAACTATAATTTTAACATGATGTTATCAGTTGGTTACATCTATGCAATTGGATAAGGTAATCGTGCTATTTATAATGAAAGCTGCCAGTCCATAGATGGGCATGCCTTTAGCAGTGTGAATATAGCTTCTGGAGATGAAGCAATTTCTATGAGTTGCTTTGCTTTTTGCTTATATACTGAGCTACAAAGCAGATCCCTTGCTTAGCTTTGCCAATTCCATCCTATTAAAAAATTTTAGAGACAGATGCATAGTTAACAACAACAACAATAATAAAAGAGGAACGGCATCCTTATATTGCCATCTTAGTACGAGAGAACAAACTAATGGAGCTTCAAACTGACAAGTCTATGTTTGAAAATTTACAGGACATGATTACTGCAGGAATGGACACAACTGCAATATCTGTTGAATGGGGCATGGCAGAGTTGATCAAGAATCCAAGGGTTCAACAAAAGGCCCAAGAAGAGCTAGACCGCGTGATTGGATATGAACGCGTGATGACTGAACAGGACTTCTCAAACCTTCCCTACCTTATGAGTGTGGCTAAGGAATCCCTCAGATTGCACCCTCCAACTCCTCTCATGCTTCCTCATCGTGCCAATGCCAACGTCAAGATTGGTGGTTATGACATCCCCAAGGGATCAAACGTGCACGTCAATGTTTGGGCAGTAGCACGAGACTCTGCTGTGTGGAAGAACCCTTCAGAATTCCGACCAGAGAGATTCCTTGAGGACGATGTTGATATGAAAGGACACGATTTTCGACTTCTGCCATTTGGTGCTGGAAGAAGGGTATGTCCTGGTGCACAATTGGGCATCAATTTGGTTGCATCCATGTTAGGCCACCTCTTGCACCATTTCCATTGGGATCCTCCTAGTGGGATGACTGCAGAAGAGATTGATATGGGAGAGAGCCCTGGTCTGGTCACCTACATGAGGACTTCATTGCAGGCTGTACCTACTCCTAGATTACCAGCAGAATTGTACGAACGCATGGCTGTGGACATGTAATTTGTTGAATTTGCAAACAAAAAGAGCAATTTTAGGGTTTGTTTAACCAGAATGAATTTTGGTTGGTCCGAGGAGATCGTGGGCTGATGTTGAAATTTCATTGGGTTGGTACAACCTTGTTTGAATGTGTAATTTGGTATCACAAACACTTTCAAATTTACGTAGTTGGGAGTTTGTAAAACCTCGTGAAAAGTAAATTTCATACTTTCGTACTTGAGAATAGATAAGAAGCAACTTCTATTTCATACTCTGCATTTTTCCGGTTACCCGCTATGCAGCTACATAAATCAATGTAATATATTTTCAAAACAATGTTGAAAGTTCTGCACTTCTACTGATGATTGAACAATTTTTAGGTAATTGGATTAAAGTTTCGCTTAAAATCCAGAACAGGTATGAAGCAAAGAAAATAAGAAATACACTGCCAATGAAGCTAGCGAGAAAAAAATAAATAAAAGCATAGTCAATATAGTCCATCAATAGATAAATACTACCCTTTCATATGATGCTTGTACACAAGGATTCATGTGACATTATCCATAGCTTACGAAATGCCGATAAAAGATGGACATTATGCAATTGAATTAACTTCATAATATAACCTTCTTGTAGATTTAATCAATTGCCACAGCATAGACAATTATCTAGTTTAACATACTAAGCCCACGTATGGTCCCCATTCTCTAAAACTTATTTTTTTCTCAAACTCATTTCTAGCCTATATCACGAGACATTCAACGTTTCCACCACACATTTTATCAATTTTTATAAAATCTACTAAAAGTTTGATTTTTAACTAAAGCAAACAAGGATAAGCATTCTACAAGTGATTTGAAGTGAAATATACACACTTCCACACTTATATAGTAGAATTCTCAATTGTTAATTATGGTAGTACAATGAAGTAGAAAAGTCTTCTGAGATAGACCTGGCAATCACAGCATTGGTCAAATGCACTAAAAATACAAACTACAACATCTGTTAAAGTAGAGGAATTGCAGAAAACATATCTTGGTACAATTGCAGCAAAGAGATCATATATAGAGGGAAAAATCTATGCAAAAACAAAAGGACTACATAATGCATGCATAACTATGACCTGCAGTGGTTTTGTTAAATGCCTTGGCAGTGGTCTTGGAAGTTCTTGCATTCTGATCCCAGTAGATTAGCAGTTGAAGAGATGGCAAGAGAGAGAGGCCAATGATAATGGCAAGAGAGAGAGGCCTTCTGTTTATCATATAGTTACTCTAACATTATTCGACATACTCTTCTTCCTCCTCGTCCAATTATGAATTGAGTTGTGCAAGTTGAAGAGGGTCGATGGCCATCCTATCCATTTCAGAGAGTGACCATCCAGGATACTCGTCACCTTTAACATCAGCAGGTACATCAGCGGCTGAAGAGGTAGAGGCCGCTGCTACTGCAGCCAGGGCAGTCTTATCTGCACCCTCATCCACTCCAGCATTCAGATCGAAATTCCTTAATTCTGAATCGGTACCATCACAGTCTTTGATGTTCTCCTTTGATGCTTTCTTCAATTCCGGACAGTTATCTATTGCTTCCCCAGGACTCGGGATATGTTTCTGAATGGATGTCATAGAATCAGATTCAACCTCGTGTCGAGGGGGATCCCTTTCTGTTGTCCGGGTGGCCCGACCCCGTCCCCTTCCTCTACCCCGTCCTCTTCCCCTGCCACTACTTGTGTGACATATTTCCTAGTGCAGCACAAAACAATTTTGTATGTCAGTACAAAAAAATTGATGCAGAAACAGAGTGAGCTTCTAGATTTACATGTACAAAGATGAAGACTATAGGTGTTGACGTTTGACAAGCATGCGATAATTGATAAATAACATCAACGGTCAACTACAGATACCAAACCCTAACAGTATATTGCAAAATTTTCTCCTGCTAAATAGAAAAACAAAAAATTAGCACCAAATTTTTTATTTTAATCCACCACTACGGTGAGAAATTTATTAAATGGAAAATTGAATATTATGTGGCCAGACAAGGTCAATCAATGACCCCCTCAGATTAAGACCAAATTAAGCTGAAACACCTGTCTTTTAACTTTATTACAACTACTAGGAAATATGTTTTGAGGTGATCTCAGGAGATGAATTAGCAAAGATTCCAACGAAAAGAATCTTACCATATTGCTCCTTTTGGACTCTTCATCACTGTCATTAAATTCATCGGCCACAACTTTCCTGGTTCAAAAAGTTAGAATTCATATTATAAGTACAGCTTAAACAACAGGAGATTTGAAAGAGAAAAAGCAAAATAAAAAATAAGCATTCCCAACCTTCTCTTCGATGTGTCAGCAGCAGTGTCAGAATGACCATAGTCAGGAACCTTGCTGACAACTTCCTTCAGAAAGTCAAAAACATTATAACTGTGAACACACTTCTTTCTGCATGCCGTAAAAGAATATATTAGAAGCTGCAACACTATATACACTTACTTAAACATGGAGTGCAGGAGCAAATGGTGATGGTAAGGAATAGAAAATTTTGAATTTTCATTTTTTTCTGTTGAAAATTAAATTGACTTTAACCATTTATTTTAGCTATTGATTATACTCAACAAGATTTCAAGGGAAGAATAAAATATTATTTATTAAAATTGAATCTATACAACAAAACACGTGTACCAATGTTTTCGGAGCTTATTAATCTTCCAACTGTAAAGTAGAACAGATAGCTTAGTCTATTATCTCAAGTAGAGAATACTCATACGTGCTTCTCAACAACCATCCAAATGTTTACAGTAAAAATTTTCTATTGGCCAAATTCATTCCTTCCAAATGTAACATGGGGACAACTTTAGGGTTATGTCCGTTCAGGAGCAATGAAACATAGGGAGAAAAGGTCTCATTATACCATGGAATCTGGAAATATAGAGAGAAGAAATAGAAAGAAAAGAGAGTACTGTAAAACTTGCAAGGCTTGCACAAATTCACACGATACAAATTCAAAATAGTCAACTCCACTAGAATAAACAGATTACGCAAGTATTTATAGACCTCGAAAACTCAATTGGAAAACTTGAACTGACAGAACTAAATGATTCATTCAAAAACTAATCCTTGCAGAGTAAGATTTCAAATAAAGCTCAAATAACAATTAATAATATAATAAGACTCAAGGACAAGGAATACTGAATATTTGACAAAGTACAAAAATACTTCTACCTAAAAGTACCTATTATACCACGTTCAAAACTAGTTAACAAATATTCTAGACGAAATTAAGGCCTTTTAATGTCTATATCAAAATGTCTTTACCTCCAATCGCAATAAATTGTTTATCCTCATTCTTGAACAGGACCTAATGCTCTATTACTAAGCCCCTTTTTTTGGGGAAAATTAGTTTTGGAATAGTGACTTTTTGGTGAATGTGTGGTAAAAAAGTAAAAATGTTTTGGATTTATATGGGAAACATTTCATTGTGAAGATGTGTGGTTGAAAATGAGTTTTTGGAGAATGGTAGATAAATAGGGGCTTAATTATTGTCTAGTCTAGATTTTAATTAAATTCATTTTTTGCTTGATGAACCATAACACCAAAGAGATTTGGAAACTTAGATCCTAGTTGCTAATGGAACTAACATTCCATTTAATGCTTCCCCAATTGTCAATCCTATCATACATTCACCTTGTTTCATTGAGGCGTGTAGTTACCACATTCAGAGCTCAGCATTACAGAAATGACGAAGAACGGAAAGCGCAACAGAGGGTTTGTTTTCAGTCAAACTCTAGGCTCTACTTTGACAGTAATTAATTGTTAAATTTCCTCACGTATTTAGTACACAAACTTCCACGTCGAATTTAGCATATATGATTCGCACAAGTTGATCCATGAAAACCCTATGGAGTGTAGCCAATAGGAAATTACTGATTTATCAGAAACCATGTATTGGATGATTGTTATGGGTAAATTATTGAATCAGATTTTCCTCTCAACATTCCTCCATTCCAATTTCTCTGTCCTGCCTTTTCTTCCTCTCTCTTGCTCCTAAATCTCTCTCAGTTACACTCTTCAAATCCTCGTGTCTCCTTTCAGTTACCAGACATTCATTGCTACAACTCAACATCAATATCTGCCGGTGGGTAGAAAATTGTCTCAGGAAGCATGCTAGATTTTCTAATTTTATTCAATCGCAAGATTCATCTTACAAGTCTTCGTTAGCAAACAAATTGTATCTGGTGTGTAGTGTGCACACACCAAGACCAGCCACCAAGAAATTCAGCACCTAGTAATCAACCTAATTGAGCTTTGCCCATTTGGAAACTTGACAAAACTCACAAACACCAAATCCCATAGACCTCCAAATTTACCAGCAATACTTGAAAATCATTTTCTTTCATAAGATTTAATCATGCACATTTTTCTGGCACCCCCATAACATTTTGAGCATACTATTCCTAGAATTATTTTAAGATTATGGTATAGCCAACATGAAGATACACACCACCATACTTTTCTACTCTCATAGGGCTGGGGTGCCATGTAAAATTCTCAACCTAACACCTGCAGCTCCCAGCACCTGGACTCTAGCAGGCTGAGGAAAGTTAGTTCCTTTCTGTTATTAACACATGCCAAACAACCAAAAGTATGAACCACTTATCCAGCACTTTTATTTTCATTGCTCTAAACCCATGATCTCGGAAATAGAAATGCTTGCTCACTTCAATTAAGGGAAAATCAAAATAATCCTTACAGATGCATAATGGGAAACAAAACCAAATTCTAAAAACCCAACCATCTTGAGAAGAAGTATCCATAACTTGCCCCCCATGCGAACATAAAAAACATAATTTAGTGCAAAGTGACTCCAGTGCACAAATCATCATTGTTCTTATTCAAGTAAAGCCAGTTTGATTCATGTCCATCAGATTCTCAGTTTCCACCATCTTCAATTAACACAGTCCATCCCAGATACAACTTTGAGAGAAAATTCTGTGGATCGACATCAATATGCTACTATAGATGACAT